GCAAAGGGGGTGGTCTCGGCAGGAGCCCGTGGGGGGAGCACACAGGACACAGCAATTAAAACCCCTTCTTCCTGCCAGGTCTTTCCACCACCATCTACTGATAAAACTTCATATCGCACCAGCTGGCAAGGGAAAATATATTGAAAGGCCCCAGATCCATTTTCACAGCATAGAGAGGGGCTGAGAGGTACTATATCAATTACAGGTACAGGAGGTCAAGAAACTGAGTGGTCCTGGTTGTATTGTTGTTCTTGTGAATATTGAAATGACCCAGATGTTGGCAGAAATTTTGGTGGAGTGTAAGGTTATAAACCAACTTGTTCCTCCAAGTGTGACCTTGGTCCACCTGCCTCAGAATCAAGGGGATACTTTAATAATATAGATTCCTTTCTCTCATTGTGTAGCTTCTGAACTAGAGTATTAGAGAACTGAGCCCCCAAATCTTTTTAACAAGTGCCCCAGGAGATTTAAAATTTTTAAAAATCAATTATGAATATTCCAAATACAGAAAAGTAAAGAAAGTAATATAATAGGTTCCAGTGTACCCCAAAATCACTTTTAACAAATGTTAACATTTGCCTTATTTCCTGTAGGTCTTTTTTTTTTTTTTTTTTTTTTCTTTACGCGGGCCTCTCACTGTTGTGACCTCTCCCGTCGCGGAGCACAGGCTCCAGACGCGCAGGCTCAGCGGCCATAGCTCATGGGCACAGCCGCTCCGCGGCATGTGGGATCTTCCCGGACTGGGGCACGAACCCGAGTCCCCCTGCATCGGCAGGCGGACTCTCAACCACTGCGCCACCAGGGAAGCCCGGTCTTTTAATTTATTTTTATTTTTTAAAAAATAAATTTATTTATTTTATTTTATTTATTTTTGGCTGCTTTGGGTCTTCGTTGCCACACACGGGCTTTCTCTAGTTGCGGCGAGCGGGGGCTACTTTTCGTTGTGGTGCGCGGGCTTCTCATTGCGGTGGTTTCTCTTGTTGCAGAGCAAGTGCTCTAGGCCCACGGGCTTCAGTAGCTGTGGCATGTGGCCTCATTAGTTGTGGCTTGCAGGCTCTAGAACGCAGGCTCAGTAGTTGTGGCGCACGGGCTTAGCCGCTCCGCGGCATGTGGGATCTTCTCGTACCAGGGCTTGAACCCGTGTCCCCTGCATTGGCAGGCGGGTTCCCAACCACTGTGCCACCAGGGAAGTCCCCGGTCTTTTTATTTTTAATATAATATTAGCGATTTTGGCTCAGGTTCCACTGTCATGCCTTTCTCCTCCCTCCCTCGCAAGAGGTGATTATTTTTGTACGTTGTCGTTTGTAAATCATGGTTTTAGGTGGTGGAGAGGCTTAGAGAGTTTTTGAGCAGGAATATTACACTATTAAACAGGCGCTTTGGAAAATCAACCAAAGTGTGCTCTGCCAGAGAGTTCATTAGGATGAGAGGATGGAGGTGGGAAAGCCAATGAGGAGGCAGGTTCAGTGGCCCAGGGTGTGTGGTACTAAGGATCTGAAGTAGAACCACAGACCTTTGCTCTTCTTAAAAAATATGCTCATAATTTATGTTCCACTTTATTTTGGGTGATAGCTATGTATAATTTTAACCTGAAAAAATCTGCAAAAAATACAGTTTGAAAAACAGAGCACATACTGGTCACTTTTTTTTTTTTTTTAATTTTGGCTGCGTTGAGTCTTCGTTGCTGCACGTGGGCTTTCTCTAGTTGCGGCGAGAGGGGGCTACTCTTCGTTGCGGTGGGAGGGGTTCTCATTGCGGTGGCTTCTCTTGTTGCGGAGCACGGGCTCTAGGCGCATGGGCTTCAGTAGTTGTGGTGTGTGGGCTCAGTAGTTGTGGCTCACGGGCTGGGTTGCTTCGCGGCATGTGGGATCTTCCCGGACCAGGGATCGAACCCGTGTCCCCTGCATTGGCAGGCGGATTCTTAACCACTGCGCCACCAGGGAAATTCCCATACTGGTCACCTTTTAACCAATCTGGGCAATGTTACTGGAATACAATACCAAGATTATAGAAATTCAAAATTACAGTCCAGTTCATAAAACTTGGACTTAAAACATCTTTTCAGAAAGTTCAATGTCTGCACTTTAAGGTTACTGTGAAATCGATTTCATATTTGCTATTATGTTGTGTGCTGAGGTAAAACGTTTGATAGATTTCTGTATAGCAGGATGAGAGCAGGTAATGCTGCTCATCAAAATGGATAGACTCTAATATTCATACAATGGAAGAGAAAACTTAGGCTTCTTATTGAATTAAATGCGCCACGGATGCAATTTCATGCAAGTCCAGGATACATTTATTCCACCTTTACTTCTGCCATTCTCTTCTTCCAATCTTGACAAGGTAACTTTTGCATAGTATTTTATTTTATTTTGTTTTGTTTTATTTTACTTTATTTTTTCACATTCTTGTGTAAAGCCTGTGCTTTGTGCCACTGTGATCTCCAGTCTTTCAACCCCCCACTCTGTTCCCCCAGTTCATCAACTCCTTTCCATTTCCCTGTGTTCCATGGTTAGTCATTTCACACGTGTGCTTGCTACTGTCCTGGAATGCCTTGCTTTCTTGACATTTGACTATACCAACCCTAACTTCCAATCTTTATACTAGTAGAACTGTTTCTTCTGCCTTGAGGAGGTGGAGTTGCCTTTCTGATTATTATTTACAGTAATTTACTATAGCCAGTGTCTAAAATGAGGCAGATTTTCACCCTGATGACCCCAGTGGGCTCAAGGCTATTTTGGACTGGACTGGGCTCCTGATATTACTCAGGTTTTGTTCTTCACCAAAAAATGTAAGTGATACCTCAATAATACTGCCAGATTTGTTTGTCTATAGAGTACAATTTTGATGAGCAGTCATGAAAACTGGCCAAATGACATATCAAAATATGTTTAAGCAGGTCAGATTTAAGAATTTTATTGATCACCACATGGATTTTGGTTTTATTTCCATTACATAGATTTGGTCATCGGTCAAAAGCCAATTATAACTTCTGATTGACTATACCTATTTTGTTCATAAATATAAGTATATCAAACCAAATATTTGGAGGTCAAATCTTTCTTGTAGAACTATTGATAGACACAACAACATGAATGAATCTCAAAGTGATGATGTTAAGTGCATGAAGCCAGACAAAAGAAAGTTCCATACTGTATGCATCCGTTTATATAAGGTTCTAGAAAATGCAAACTAATCTATAGGGATTGAAAGGGGATTGTTCATTGTCCGGGATTTTGGGGGAAGGGAGGGAAGATGGGGTTGAAAGGGCACAAGAACACTTTTTGGGGATGATGGAAAGATTTATCTGAATTGTGTGTGTGTGTGTGTGTGTGATTGTATCACGGGATGTATACATATGTGAAAATTCATTAAATCATACAACTTAAATATGTGCAATTCATTATGTCAATTATATCTCAGTAAAAGTATAAAAATCATTAGCAAGGAAAACATGTTGTTTGTTTTAAGCCATTAAAACATCTAGTGTGTACCAGGCACTCTGCTGGGGACAGTGTTCATTAAGGCAGACAAGACCCTTCCTCTAGGGGAGGGTACATTCTGGTGGAGGAGAAAGATTGAAAAGTGATAATAGTAAAGTCTGGTAAGTGTTACTACGGGGTAAGAAGGGGAAGCCTTGAAAACAGGCAGCAGGATTATCTAAGCTGGCTATTTGGTAGTAGATGCCTAAAACTGTGTTGAAAAGATTCTGAAGCTTAGCAAGATCCCATGCACTAGGAGAGGGTGGTGATGCTGAGTACCATGCATTTGCCCAGATGAGGCTATACTGTTGGCCTTATCATACATTTCCCAATAATATGACTATTTTAACTGGTTATGAAGATGTTTAAGAATAGTTCAGATCTTTTGTTATAGACCAGTTTTTTCCCAGAGCAGTATTGTTAAGGCAGTGTTTCTTGTTGGGGAAACATCAACTTTCCAGACTGTAGTGTAGACAGAGGACAAGTGTTCTTTTGTTCTCAAAAGCTCTGTTTTCAAGTGTTTTTTTACCCGTTGATGTGACTGTGTCTGAGCCTTTGCTAAGGGTACTGCAGCTGGATTGTGTAGTGGAACCAGGTCCAGAAAAAGAATCACTCAAGAATGCAAGTAAACAGGATGTCAGATGTTATCCTTAGTCTATTTCCCTCAACATAGCTTTTTGGCTGCAAAGTAAAATGCCATTCTTCTAGCTTGTGCTTATACACAGTGATGGCTGACAGCAGGCACAATCTTCCTCTGCTTGGCATGTTGTCACCGTGCAACTCAACATGTTTTGCAAGGCATGATTGTGACATATCATCTCGGTGAGACAGTATGAGGACATGTGGCCATTTCTTGGAAGAATTTTCCAGCCTACCTTCTTTGAGCCCTGTTGTGCCAGCACAGCTCCCCACGAGGCTCAGATATGTCTGACCTAAGAGCCAGTTGGCATCTTCCTCTTGATTTTCCTCTTGAACCAGATTTTCACTGGGGCTAGACTATATATTGACAGCTTCTTCCCAGACTGGCCCATGAGTATCTCATTTCTAAGGTCCCCTGAAGTGCTGGCTCACCTCTGTTTTCCCAGAGCACTCGCTTCCTTCTCTCTCCTCCCTCCGCAGCAGCCTCCTCACTTCCTTCCTTTACAGCTTCTTGCACCCGTTGGTGTTTGTGTGTGTGTGTGTGTGTGTGTGTGTGTGTGTGTGTGTATTTCTTCTTCTTCTTTTTTAATCCCAATGAATTTGTTTTGCAGATTTTGAAAAAGAAACCCAGTGTTATCCAGGACTCTTTTTCCCCCCATTCATTCTATTTCCACATCTTTGAGTGTGAGCTCTGTGGTTTTCAAATCCCATAATTGGAGTGGCTTCCACCGTTGTCTAAGAAAAGTTCTTTTAGAGCTTTGTGCTGCAAGCACGAGAAGAGAACTCATAAAAAGGAAGACAACAGCAGATGCAATCGCGGATGTGGCTTAGTCCTTGCAGCTGCCCCAGAGAGCTGTTCGGAGCGTACAGTCCTCAGTAATGAATCCAGAAGAACGCATCGTGACATGGCTTATATCTTTGGGAGTATTAGATTCCCCCAAAAAGACCATCTGTGATCCGGAGGAGTTCTTAAAGTCCTCGCTGAAAAATGGGGTAGTGCTATGCAAACTGATCAACAGACTTAGGCCTGGCTCTATAGAAAAGGTAAGGGAAATTTGTAGTATCTTTGGGGTTGCTTACCACAAGAGAGCAGCAATAATGTCACTCTGGAGATTTTTGATTGCCTGGGTCACGGGACGCTCCTACTTTAAGCTCTTTCTAAGACTTCGACTTTCTTTCTGTTTTTGTAGTTGGAAAAAGTCGGAAAATGAAATGTAATGCTTTAGTAATTGGCCACTGAAGATTAGTACAGTAAAAACCTGTTACACCACTGGTGTGAGGGACGAGGACATGTTTTGAACTTGGGGTACATGTGAGTCTGAGGAAAAATGCGATGATTTATAAGAGATACAGATGGTGTTTATTGATGGTATGACTAAATTCCGTGTAGATTTTCTTCACAAAGAAATAAAATATCCATTAAAAGAAAGAAAGGCTATTTAGCAACCAGGAGAAATAATCCAAAATGTTACAACACATTCTGTTAAAACAATAGAAACCAAATATATGTTTCAAATGCAACGTGTGTTCAAAGTGAAACTAACCTTACTCTCTTTTAAAAATCCAAAATTGTGAATGTTGGAAACCCATGGTCACGAGGATGTGATTTAAAAAGTGGGCACTGGGACTTCCCTGGTGGTCCAGCGGTTAAGACTTCACGCTCCCAACGCAGGGGGCCTGGGTTCAATCCCTGGTCAGGGAACTAGATCCCACATGCTGTAACTAAAGATTCCTCATGCCACAGCTAAGACCTGACGCAGCCAAAAAAAAAAAAAAAAAGTGGGCACTTAAAGTAAGTTTAAAGGTGGAGCCCTACTATTATTTTCTTAAGGTCAGCAGGGAATGTGATGCTGAGTACAGTTCTTTTGCTTATAATTTCTCAAACATGAAAAACAGTGATAAAATGGTGGGAAAATGTTGAGAAATGTGATCAAATGTAGAGAACAGTGAAGGGGAAAATATACTTTCTAATAAATTATCATGAGGAGGACGGAGGGTGGTAATAGGTTGAAAGCAGGAACCAGGATCAAAGAACTTTCAGGGTCTCTCTAATTTGCTATTACTACGCTTTGGCAGAAAGCATGAGAAAAAGTTTGTAAGTAGAGACGGCTCGGGACTAAGGGTTTGGTGACATTTGAAACAAGACCGACCGTTTAGATTTTTGCATCACTTCCTTCAGTGGTTAATTTCTCTTCCTGGATTGACAGCAACGTTGGCCCCGCCTTAAAAAGCCTACCTTATCTACTTATCAGTGAACGATGCAATGATGTGACCCACATGTGATGACAGTCTCCAAGTGACATTTGACTCTGTTTCCCTAGTACTGTCTGGAGCCCCAGACTGAAGCTGACTGCACCAACAACATCAATGACTTCCTGAAAGGATGTGCAGCCCTTCAAGTGGAGGTAAGCTCACCCAGGTTGCCTTCCTCGTGGTCATCGTTTTTCACTCTGCTAATGAAGATGGTGTTGTAGTAAAAGTACTTGGTTTATTTTCACTGTGAAACAGAGGAAGCGTTTTATGGAAATCATGGTTAAGATCGGTGGTCCCCAGTCGTGGCTTGCTTTTCCAGAAACCAATTCCAAAACAAAACAAAATAAAAATTCAAAATATGTACCTTCTGGACTTCCCTGGTGGTCCAGTTGTTGAGACTCTGCGCTTCTCCTGCAGGGAGAAAGCGTTCGATCCTTGGTCAGGGAACTAATATCCTGCATGCCACCAAAAAAAAAAAAGAAAAGAAAAAGAAAAAAAGAGCAAAATATGGTACCTTTTATCCTACTGTATAGCACAGAGGACTATATTCCATATCCTGTGATAAACCATAATGGAAAAGAATATAAAAAAGAATGCATAGGGCTTCCCTGGTGGCGCAGTGGTTGAGAGTCCGCCTGCCGATGCAGGGGACACGGGTTCGTGCCCCGGCCTGGGAAGATCCCACATGCCGTGGAGCGGCTAGGCCCATGAGCCATGGCCGCTGAGCCTGCGCATCTGGAGCCTGTGCTCCGCAACGGGA